TATATATAATAGAGATTTGAAGTGTTTTGTAAAACCGAGCGGTATTGCGGACACATAGCCATTAAAGATATAAAAACGAATAGAAGCCTTTACATTTGTGCTTAACTTCACATTGACTCAGCTAACTTCGTAGGAGGGTTGCGTCAGTGTGAGTTAGTGAGGGGGGTTCGCAATAATACAAACAAGGCAATCTGTTCGCTTACTATGGACCAAAAGTTGCTTATAGTTACATAATTGTTGCTGCTGGTGGAATGACCTGGGGCAATAATTTGTGTTGCAACAATGCAGCGTATGTGGGCGTCCATATACTAAAGCAGAACTGGGCTGATAAGTCGTACAACTGCTTCTATCGGCTAGGTGCAAAGTATGTGTAACGTGTCTACTGCATATAAACAGTGGGTATGTAAATTTCTATTAATCAAGTAAATTATTGTAATTTTTTTCAGTTAGCTGAAACGTAACCTAAAAAGGTTTTTTAGCATGTATGAGGGAGCCCTTTTCATGATTAACGCACTTGTTTAATTAGCTGCTTCTACAATTATCAAAACTTTACGAAATTAGTATCTATACCTTATGAAAATACTATCTGTGTAGATACTAAAATAGCGTAAATGGCAGAAAATCATACTCTCGTAGAAGTCTATATAAGCCTACAGCGAACTAACGAAAACCCGTTTCAAGACAGGCAAAAACTAGCAAAGAATTGAATTATTTCCATATGTTAAGTTTTGAACTTATTTTTGTTATCTTCTGTAAAAGCCCGCCGTCAAGTTGGCGTCGATAACGTAATTCGAAAATGTTTAAATGTAAGCTTAAGTTCACATATTTTTGGCTGAATGTGTGCACATATGCCAAAAATATGACTGCTCCACTGTGAAGTAAAAAATGAAAAAAAAAAAAAAAAAATACAATAGATAAATATTTTATGTTTTGGAGGAGCCGAGGTTGAAAATCGGTTCAAGGGGGTTTGATATTGGAAATCGGCGAACAGAACAATTTCACAGAAAATCCGAAATAGATTTTCTTAGTTGTTTCAGGCTACAAACGAGGGTGATAATTCAGTAGACATTCCTGCCATTAGAGAGAGAGCGCTGTCTAATAGTCTCCATTATCATGAACGAATACGTATATATCTTCCAGTTTTTTAAGCGACCCGTAAAATATAGAAAGGTTTGTTGCGGAAACGTAAATAACTGGTGATATGACGAAACCGTACATCCATGTGTCGAACAAGTACGAAGCTGCAGATATTGGGTTATAAATCTATCTGTGAACGTGGCCGCCATGAATCAATTGATAGAAACGTATATTAATCAATAATAATCTAATTTAAATAGCTATTCATCCTCTAAATTACCTACTTGATAAAATATGTTAACAATAATTTCACCCAACCAGTAGTTGAATAATAAATGATTTTCCATCAATAGTGTTCCGATGCCTTATTTATTTTTAAGGTCCTTGGAATCATCTCTTCGGTTTCCTCAACATGAAGGTCTTGCCTTTACTAGAAGGTCTAGCCAGGGTGAGTCTTGTTGGACTCATTTGAGTTTTTCTCGAAGAGATTTATAAAACGGCGCGATAACAATATCCCTACACTCAAAATTTAAACTAGCGATGGCCGCATGTTCGTACTTACTAAATCAAAAAGTACAAAAAGTTATCTCCTTAGAATCAGTTGTTTCCAGTGTTTAGCTTGCGCCCGTTGACTTATTGACGATAAAATGTTAAACGCGTTTTTGATTAACTTACAATTAGAAGTAAAAAGGAATCACAACTATTGCTACGATAAAACATTTAAAAGGCAAATCCGAACGGCAAAAATACTTTATCATAGAGTCAGACACAATTATACCACTGCGTTGCTCACCTAAAATCAGCCCCCTTTATTAGAAGGGTTCACGATTACCCTAAAATCCGTTAAAAATTCCGAATCGAACTGCAAAATACAGGCTTCGTAAGGTGTTACGTCTAAAGTACAATATCGGACATCTGGGTGACATATTTCGGCTACACCCCATAGGTGCTTCTCTGCACGTTTCTGCCTAAGCTCATATCTTCTGTCTCAATAGTTACAATTGACTAAATACCTAAACGTTGTGTACATTGCGCGAAAATCCTATATTTGAGTTAGAATTTAAACGACCAGAGAGGATTTCCCAATCGTTACTAATCCAAGCAACCTACGTTATAAAGAAACTGTTTTTCGCATTGATACATAAACGTTCTGTTCATTTTCTCCTAATCTCAAATCTACAAGAGCTCAATTGCTTGTACAGCAACGAACGACAAATAGGCCCGAAAAAAAAACGATGCCCCTTTTCCGCACACTTTAGAACATATTGAATTTTATTGATATGTCTACTTGTTGCGTGTTTATGAAACATTATTAGACCAAGCCCGCTGCTTCATGTATTTGGCTTAATGCATATTCCCAGCGAAACACCGGATGCAGGAGATCGATTCCGGTTTTATCGACTGTTTGAATTTCGACTTTTTTAAGCCGAACCCAACCAACTGGAACGGTCAACGAACCCCTACACAAAAATGTAACAAAAGGCTGCTGAGCCTATTTTGCCGGCCGACTTTAAGGTGATTTGGAACTACTAGCTGCACTATGCAGGATGTACCACGATACACAGTTATTTCACCAACGTACTTCGCTTAAATTACAAAATGAAAAAAAACAAAAAAAAAACAATGAGAGCTAAGTTTAGATCAATACAGCATACATGTCATAACACAAAAACTAACTATAGATGGATTGCGCACGTTTGCGCTTATCTAATTTGTGCGCTGTCGAAGAGAACAACCAGGGTTGAATAACACAGAGGAAAAGCGAGGGCTCTAGGTCTATTATCCGCGCATCTAGGCATTAGGAGATGGGGATGGTATGCTTTTAGGATATACAACAACAGCCAACGCATGCGTGCCGGGGGGTAGCACTGAAAATTAAGATCAGGTCGTGCCAATGCAGCATGGTATTTGTGCTGCAGTGACTTCAAATGATCAGCTTGATAGTTTGAAGTGTAACAATGATTAAATAGATGGTGGGACAATCATCATCTCTAATACAGAATTCTGTATTTCTGTTTGATTTGTATTTGTGTTTTGATTTTACCATTGGCCATATTGCATGTAGGACAATAAATCAGTGCTGCGTAACGATAATTTCATTTTCAGTTGGACCAGCTCATGTGTCCCGCTCAATGGTTTTAGTAATGAAGTGATCGCTAAGATTCAATCAGATTTTATCAGAATTTCATTTACCGGTTTCAAGGAATGTATAGAATATACATACTGCCAACGAACTCGTTCCTTCACGAAGATAAGGATTTGCGTTCCTGAATTCGTTACTCTTTACAACAATTATTAAGAGGTGTAGAACATTGCCCATACGTGTGTGTACATTTTGTCACGTTGGCAGGCCTTTAAGCAACAGCAGCGCCATCACCTGTTGTAGAAAGCACAGTTAATTGTTAGTTAATTATTAAATTGGAAAAAGTGCACGAGTATTCTGCTGTATTTAAGCTAAACAGAATTGAAACATCCATTTGTTAAGCCATTAGGCGTTCTCCTGATTAGAAGCAGTACCGAAAGTCTAGGTCAGTTAAAATGATTTAAAAGTGCGCGCCGCCTTTTATGAGGTATATGTATCCATAAAAAGCGAGGCGCACTCTTTCACTGACTAGGATTTCTAGTATATGTATATCTATATATATATATATATGCAGTATATAAAACATCGATTATTCTACTGAAGGATAAGAAAATTACCAGGTTTTCACATTGAATCATATAATTTCATATTTCATCTTATACTATCTTGGGCTTCGCCGGTACCAAGTGGTCCAGTACAGCCCGCGGAGGAGCCGGTGACCCTACAACTGTAGCGCTGCCAATAGCCAACATCTGCGCAGTTCGAGAACAGCGCATGGGAGTTTTCAATGAACTACATTGCAAACACTTCGTAGTATTCTCGTAGGTCCCATAGCTGAAATAAATAATAAGGACTATTTAATTATTTCGTTACTATGTGTTTTTGGTAGAATCTCTATTTCAGTTAACTGAAATGAGATCAGTGGCTCGGGTCCAGCCACTTTTCCACCCAAGCCCTTATATTGCTTCATTATCGCAGTAGAACAATACACTACAGTAGTTGCAGCTCGTCGCATCTTGAGAATGATCACCCTGTTTCGTTGCTTACATTATGTAACACTGAATTAGGGTTTAAACGTAGAATAGGATAAATGACAAATAGGTAGGGTATAGGTGCAGCCGTCTTATGTCTGCCACACCTAGGAACGAATAGCTTATATGGATACGAAGCATTACGTTTTGAAACCTCTTCCTTTATGGTGCTAGCCCTACTCATCACGTAACAAGAAATTAGTAATTAATAATTCAATAACCGGAGACCCACTGTTTACTTTTTCCCTCTAATGGATGTATCCACCGACCATTATTTTCTTTTGTTTCAACGCCACCTTATCATTTCTTTTTAGCTCTTTGTCTCGTACAATTAAGCGATGCTTCAATTTTGTGCACCATTCGATTTTTTCTCAATGCCAATGTCAAAGACGGGAATGCGTTCATTCGTTTCGTTGTTTGCTATAAGAAATATTTACTACTCTAAACTTTTTCGCCGGCCTATCGGCGAGATCATTGGGAAAATTGGAGGTTTTGTTTGCTCGTTTCTGTTATTTTTCTGCCGCGTTTGTTACATTCGCGGTTGACTCCAGTGTTTGATTAAGGACCTGTGAACGGCAGATGGCTTTTCGGCACAATGGTAACGGACGAGGACAGGAGACCCAGAGTTTCTCGATGTCAAGGCGCCCTATGCTGTCAACGGACGGCCCATTCACAGCTTTCGTTGGCAACCTACCCGACACTGTGATGCAATCCGACCTCGAAGTAATCTTCAAGGATATTCCATTGCGCTCGATCAGACTCGTGCGCGATAGGGAAACTGATCGCTTCAAGGGTTTTTGCTATGTCGAGTTCGACACCAGCAATCAGCTCCAAAACGCTTTGGAGCTTGACGGAGCGGAGGTTGACGGCCGGATCATACGGGTAAACATTGCGTCAGGTCGTCAGGATAGACGTAGTGGAGGTAGGGCTCGTGATGGAGGTCGTGATTCTGTACGGGATCAGGGTGATTATCAACATCGTAGAAATGTGCGTATTTTATATAGAAGGTCCATTTCCTAATGAAAAAAAATCCATAATATTAGCTTTTGTATAAGGTAATGGTTCTTAGAAGAGGAGCGTGGGCCACACAGGGAATTATTTTGATTGGTTTATTTCTTCATTGATTCAGGTACTTTATTTATCGACAGATAGCTTACCAAATTGTTGGGAAAGGTCACCTAGCAGAAAATACCTAGCAGCTGTGATAATTACTCGTGTACTCTTCGTTATTCGGAAGGGCCAAGTGGCGATAATCATCACGATAACACCAAGAGTTTTATGTGCACCTTGGCTCAAAGGATGCCACAGAATATTCCCAACATATTGTACTCGCAACTGGTTATTCGGGCATTTCTGCCGTGTGCACGTTATTAGAATACAGTCGCAGAACCCTTCCCCCCCACGACTGGTCTGCTTTACAGTTATGTTATTGTATGGCAAAGCAGCGGGTAATTTATTTAGCACAATAGAGTCATTATAGAAGCTATTTATTCATTTGGACAGCAATCGAACCACATTAACAACGACCGAGAAAGCAGTCGTCGTCAAGACGGATCGCCCGTGGGAAGCCTAACTGCTGACGGCGGTCGAAATTTTCAAGGAGCTGCATGGAACATGCGAAGACGTTCTCAACAACAACAACAAGCTCTGCAGCAATATCAGAACCACTCAAATCGGCTCGATCACTCTGCCCGATCGGACACTCATACTAACGATGCCGCATCAGGACATGGCAGATATTTTAATAGCAACTACCAGCAAAGTTTTCCCAAGGACCACTCGGACCGACCCAAGCTGAAGTTGGCCCCCAGAACGGTCACCACTCCGGTGGCAGCATTGGCAGACGCCCTGGCGCGTTCGAGTATATTCGGTGAAGGAAAACCACGCGACGATCGTGCCTTCGAGAATCAAAAGAAAGAGGGCAAAAAACAAACCCTTTAAACTTAACACCAACGTATATATATATATATATATATATATATATATATCACGAAATATATGTATGCTCGCACCTGCAATATAATGTTCTAGTGGAGGATATCTGTGCTTTGTCTCTTGAGATTATGTATTAATGCCTATACACTTCATACTTATCGTATCATAAGGCTTCGCTAATAAATGGTGCTGTGTGTTAAGTATCGAAACTTGCGTAGTGACTTATAAAATTGCATGTGTAGTTACGTAACTTTTATGTAACACGTTTGCCCTTTGCCTTTCATTTTTTGGGATCCTCTAAGTAAGAAGACTCGGCGCTTGGTTCGAATCCAGTCAGAAACCAGCGAATTGAGGAAGTTTTTTTTGCTATCCGTATAGTCGCTGAAATAACAATGACATTGATGACGGGACACGGAATTGTCGAATAAGCGAGGGCTTGAGTGTAGCTCGTTTGGGTTTTTTTAATATATGATGAGAACTGTGTCTATTGATACGCAATGAGCGACTACAAGTTTAAATTTCGTGCCTGTTTGCGTAGTTATACAGGAACAAATGCAGATGTAATTTAAGTTCATGTTCTCGAAAACCCGAATCTCCAACTATTTAACGCTAGGATACTACAATAGATTTTCGTTGGAAAAGAAAGCTAGTTACATAATACCCATTCGACTGGCCTTGTCTGAATACGGAGGTCACTGCTACCTTCGTGAACTTCAGTATCTTTAATAACCGTCCAATGCGACTCAGGAGTTATCAATTTAAAAAAGAAAACCAATAAGAACCTTAGTTCCAATGAAATCAATGTACCGCATAATAGGACCAACGTTATTAGCTAATTTGATATACGCGTTTTCAACGGGAAATCGTTTAGCATCATCAGGCAGTTCTTCAATAGCGACACGTAGGTCTTGTCGAATACATAACCAGATTAACAGGTTAATACCTTCTCTTCGAGCACGTTTTTGTTTGGGTCACTTTCACTAGCACACAGGTGACACTAAAACCCAAGGAGACCTGTATGTCAGTGCACGTATTCTTGTCGCGAATACGCTCAAAAATGAACGCTTTTCCTTTTTAGCTCCCAGAGAACATAACAAATTGGTTCTATATTATGGGGTTAACGGCGATAGATCTGAACCACTGTTGACAAACACTTCGTTTATTCAGACGATTTTCATACATTTTTCTTTGGCAATACGTTGTGTACAGTTGTAAGTAAAATAGTTTATGCTGTAGAGCTCTCGCATGTGTTTCCAAACACGCGTTTGCTACATAGGATTGCCTTACTGATGTACAAATGTGCCAAAAATTATCGTTGAATCAGATGGTGACAGGCGCGAAGTCCTTGCGTACGCGAGCTATTGAAGATACGTCTAAAGGATTTCAATCAACCTATATATACTTCAGTAAACTAGGAGTAGAGGTGGTCTGGGAGAGACAAGTCTGTGGTGCATACGTACCGTGTCCTACCTGTACCTGCATAACGTGTGGAATGTCTATAAGTTTATCTTTCAAATTTGAACCCAATCTGGCCTTAAGAAATACCTATGAAAATTTTTTCAATTATTCGCAGTTTCGATATCACTTAACTGTGTATAATTAAACATGCTTGTTTTACATACCGCATATCTTCCTGTGTCCAAAATAAAGGTGTTTTAGATTCAGATTTGAAAAATTAGTCCAAATTTGATCGTATTGCTTATATATACATCTATAAATCGGTGCAAGGCGGCCACCCGTAATCGAGGCCTATTTTGCCATCTGTGAAAGCAGGATGGCCTTGAAACCGCTTGCATTGTAGCTTTTATTATGGACTCACCCAGTGATTAATAATTAACAATAACAATGAATTGTTAACGATCTAAAATTTAAAAAAATGCGGAAATTTTTTGGAACTTTTTGATTGATTTTGAGTACTGCAATTACAGCATGAATTTTGGCCTCGTATCCGAGGTTTTTGGCAAATAAAGACGAAGGAGGCTAGCTAGTTCTGTCACAGGAAAATTATTATATTAACCACTAGTTTTAGGATAGACTCACCATACCTGACTCGTATATTGGTTGAGATTTCAGTTAGATATACCATTCTAGGTATATCTAACTGAAATTCGGGGAAAATTCGGGGAAATCGAAAGTTATTCAGAAACAGAATTAGACTCATAAATACAAATGTGATCTGAGTGATTCGAACTTAAACAACAGTCTATGTTCCATCTGAATGATCCCGCTGTAAAAAAAGGCCGTCGGAATTCTTAAAGATCACTGATCGACCTTTAGCTCAAAAGTACCGATAATATGCAAATGCTTCCTTTTTCACCACACAAGTCGTGCGGAATGTGTCATTGATGAGTACTCACAAATATGGAATAAATAGAGCTTCAAAGTCTAGACCATCAGCACAATATCGTACAACATATAATGAAAGAATCACGGCTCGCCCAAACTTCTATACTCACTAGTCACGGTGCTCACAGTATTACATCACAACCTCATTTTCATTATTTAGGACATGTAGCAGCTTGTAACCACTAGTGGTCATACATGTTCCGTGTAATTTCATATTTATCATCACATACATCAGTATGAAAAAATGGGTTTTTCTGCTGACGATCTTTCTCATGTCTTTTCTGCCGTTCGAGAACTGCTCATAGACTCGACTGGTAGAGTGGCTGGTATATAGCCACAGTATGGGCAAAAATGAAGCAGCTGTCTCCTGAGCGGTCCATGTCCGACGTTGACCTAGTTTCATTGGGGCGTATGTGATTTTTTATGGGAAAGATGGCATAGTCAGTTTTATGTGTGCCAACAAACAGGGGGCACTCGACTGGAGATTACACGCTTCAGGGGGTTACGAGCATACACAGAGACGCATTCACCCGCGGACGTGACGCGGTCATTCACGTACTCATGGTCAGTCGGACAGTAGCACAGCTGTTCCACGGGCTGTTAGGTGCGCGGGCAATCATATGCGGGGGAGGTCAGCTGAAGTAAGTGGGTGAGGTACGGCTGCTGATGTCCCACGCATTCGGCGAGCTCTTTGCGGCTTCAGGGGTACGAAGAGCTCGTATTGGTGGTGATAGTGGCAGGGAACATCGTCCAACCTGTATATTGTGCTGGAGTACAACAGGACAGTAACCTCATTGAAGAGTGAGGGTGGTCCGGGTGGTGAGGTAGGGCTAAGGCCCGGGCAATACGCCCCACCACATTACGAAGGCAGAGATACTCGATGGCAGCGTGCGAGGAGTGGATGGCGTTACGCAAGCAGACTCTACGGATAAAGTTATGACGGATAAACTGCTATTGATGAGTGCAACAGATGAAGTGTAACTGGTTAAAAGAAAAGTTTTAATTAGTGTTTTTAATGATAGGAATGATCGAGCGTGTATGTATAGAATAAGTTAGATAACTACTCAAATTATCTCTGTCAGTTATGGATGAGCAAACACATTACAATTGAGAAACTTTATAGCCTTTTGAAACGTAGTAGTGATGGTGATTCAAGATGATATAAACAGAGCTAAAGCGTGATTCGATTATGATTTTATGTGAAAGATACCTTGATCATAAAAAGCATTGATGTCTTTTAAAACAGAAACTGATAGAAGCAACAGTATTATATCAGGTGAGTCTTCACTGAGAGGCAACAAAGAGGCCCGCGTTATTTAATTCGTTAATTATTCTACGTATAAAATGGGTAAGTGTAGTTCAACTGTCTGAGAGTAGAAATCGCCAATTTACTCATCTATTTTTTGTGCTCTTAAAGACGTTACACAGTCATCTCGTTGGAGCCACCACTATTTTTTGAGACCATATAAAATTTTTCAGAGTAAAACTTCGGTTCACATTTTGAATTTTTTCATCGATGAGCGTTTACGATATGTTTGATGCGCGACACAGTGGTAAATGCCTAAATATAAGTCGAATAATTGACAAAAGATTCAAGTTCTACAAAATACAGATCAGACAAAAGAACGATACAAGTTCGTACTCGTCGCAGAAGCCTACTCGTTTCCTACATTTATTTTTTGATTTATAAAAATCTATTAGGTTGCAACACGTGGAACGACTTATAGAGCCTGTATGCTCCTCACAGCAGAAAGGTATTAGCTTAGTGCTTGGGCAAAGTCATTTGAAAGGATTTATTTTTACAACCGACTAAAATCGTTGTAATGATAAATGAGACGGCCGTCGAATTAAGTTAGTGAGACCATGTATTACGGCTGTAACTTATCTGGGTCTCAGGTTATCGAGATGTCGTCTGGTCGCATGAGGGCATTAAGCTTGAAAGAGGGACTCTTGTTCCAAAACGACTAGTACAAGAAACCTCTGGGCAGTTTCGTACAGTTATATATTAGTATTCGGCCGCGTAATAGTGCTGTAGATTTTAACAGTATGCTTCCAAGATCATGTAGTAATAACCCGTTTACGTGCTAGACGTGCGCTAGTCTAGATGCGAAGACGAACGTAGATACGCCTCGTTTAGCGATGCTAGGCCAACCATCTAAAGCAGTGCTTCAATGCAGTACTCGATATGAACTCAAAACGTTTATTTAGATGATTAGCAGCGGTTGCATTCACTAGTTAAGTCCGCGAAAATCATATCATTAATATACTGTGATGAGCAAAGTTAGCATTTTCTTAGTAGAATTGTGTCTTTGACGTTTGATTTGGATTTTTAACAAGGATTAAATATTATTTCCTTTTTATTGTCTCGTTCTTGTGTCTCGAAACAAAACGTTCCCTGTTGACTCACAAATACTTGGCTCTACCTCACTAGGGCCAATTTTCAATCTACCACTAGGATCGATACCATATTCTATATATATATATATATACCATCCATTGCAATACAATACTATATTTGCCCCTGAGCATTTAAGTGTACACAATTGCTAGCAGTTCATAGTGAACACAGAAAATACAAATGGATAAATATCGATTAATTGTTTCCAATCGGGCCGTTTCTACCTTTGGGTAGCTATTTACCTGTTGACTATGAAGCGCGTCTGCGTAGCGAATTAAACCCATTTGATACCTTATGCACTGGGCTGTGCTTCGGCTAAGGTGCTCTTGAGCATGAGGCTACAGTTAACGATAAGACCTCCTAAATTTCCACAGAAGCTTTTTTGCCGTTACAAACACGCGTAGCGATGTGTTGTACATTAACTCCGTAGTCCTTTTGGGAACAGTGGGCCTTCCCCGTCTCTAGGGAGACGCAAGGCATAACTATAAGGACGTGTACCCCGCTCAAGAGGGAATAGTTTCTCTCCACGAGTAGAGGAACTACGTAGTTGGAGAACTGCAAGTGTTGAACGTTCGTATAAATCAGTTTTAAAAAAGCTCTCAGGAATTTTAGATAGCTTAAGTAAAAATAGGTTTAGATTTACAACGTCTTGTGTTGTTTATGAAGTGATAAAACTTGTTCGGTAACTTTAGAAAAATTAAGCTAAATGATATTAGGTAAATGGCTGTTTAGTGATAGAATAAGTATGCATTTTAATTGACATTGCATGGATTAGAATGATGAAATAGCCTTGGAGACCGCAAAGCCTTATTTTTGAGCGAAAATTCGGGTAATTAGGTTTCATAATAACACAATTCGTAACCTTAAGCTAATAACTACACAGACAAATAGATTGATCATGTAGAGTATCATATCTTCTAAATAGCACTTACTTTACTAAAAAGCTTTTTTACTTTACTAAAAAATTTTTCCAAATATATAGCTGTATTGATGACTTGATGCCTCTATAAGCGCTGAAGATGAAATGGTGCAAAAGAAGTAACATCGAACCTAAAACGATCTATATGTGATAGAATATATTAAATAGATATTTCTATTAATTATTTATTAGGACGTGTTATTACTTAACAAATTCTATTATTTGACATCCCATTTAATTTTATTTGTGAACAGTGGATATTATTCGTTAGCTATACAATATTGTTACTATTTTTACCAACAATTGGTAGCTGTCCGAGCGCCGTGACTGACTAAATTAAGACCTTTAATTGTTAAGTGACCTTTAACTAGTCACTTGGCGAGATTTGAAGATCGTTCCCAGGCAGGGCCTGTTGAATTTGAAGGAAATCAACGACCCCAGAGGGGATTGGATACTTCCTATTGACTCGACAACTTTCGTCACATTTATTGGTGTCTACCGGGCTCTTTTTTGTTCTGTTCAGACAAGATGACAACGATCATTCTGCTGCTGCCATTTTCTAATATTAGATATTAATCCTCCTCTTTCATTGAAGAACCCTCTGTCCAGGATAGCTATATAGCATCGCCGTGTTTTCCGGGCAAATCTGTTAAAATAAATATCACTTTGATGACCTCTCTGAACTAAGAATCACATCGTTGTTTTTCGTTAGCGTGCCATTGTCTGAGAGACATCGGTGACGGCTGCTCTATTATACTCTACTAATGTATCTGGATTATGACTTGTTATTGGTATACAATTTTTAACAGTGGACGAGTCGTAGAAGTCTTATAAATGTTGTGATCCATATAAAACTTGTTCCGTTACTTTCTCTAGAATGAGTCGTATAAAGAAAATCGTAAAAGTCGTTACCAACGGCGTCTTCTAGGAGTGCGCTATTTGCAAGTAGAAAGAGAAACGTAGTCTCATCGTTTTGTCAGCTTTTACCCCCTCCCCCCCCCCTACTTCGGCAGAGCTTCGGCGGCCTTCTTCTTCTTCATGGAAATTTGGGCGAGCTTGCAGATACTTTATTCTCTACTGATGGTCAAGTCCAGCAATAACCTAAATATATAGGAATATAGTACACAATTTAAATCAGTTGGTGATTGTTACGCGGTTGCGTCCAGACAGTAAACTGGACTCAATTTCACTAATGAAGCATAATTTGCTGTTTCAGATGCCTTTTCTTCAAATGCTATGATAGTGTAAAATGGCAACGAAGACCCCCAAGTCTACTGAAGATCACAATAAAGATGTAATGAATCATTTTGTATTTAGTCATTGAAAGCTTGACGTATCATCGTAGCAGTGCTATCGCTTTAATGAAAAATTTTAAAGAAGTCAGAGATTTTTGTCACTGACGGGTGAAAGAGCTATTCGTTCGCTTATTGAGATGCCATTTTTGGCCGCTAACATTTGCATACGTCGTCCAAAGTCATGTAGTAAAAACCGTTTGTCTGGCATTGTTCTAATGTAGGTTATAAGCAGCATGCCGATCACTGCCCTGTGATTTACCCTGTGTGTTTCCAGTTTGACGTTTTGCTACCGCTTCAGCTAAGCGTGGCTTCAGGCGGCTGGCCCCTTTTGGCACGAAGCGCAATGAGTTGACGCCCGGTCTCGAATCTAGATATTAGAATCTAGATAGCCTATTGCCAAAGGTAAAGAAATGTATCGACAATTTGCCAGACATAAATTCGTGAGGATACCTTCACACTGAGCCGATTTATGAACGCATCGCTTTGTTCGTAGCGTTCATTAGTTTAAGTACTCTACTGGCCCTTTGCCAGGACATCCCGTGCGTCTTCTCTCTACAGGCTGAGTAGTATAGACAGCACACCCCGGTGTGGATTTATTTTTTACTTCCGCGTCCAGGACGAATCGCTCGTTCTATTTTGATGCCGTCCTCTCGAAAACCGTTGCTTTATTCGCCCGACTGTGGTGTCCTACCATAACATCGTCGACTAGTTGGATCTGCACGAATTTTAATGATGATCATACAGCTCTCTCCACGACCGCAACCACTCTCGAGCCAAAGGGGACGCTTGAGCTCCTCTTCGACGAAACTGGGTCGCTTTTGCAGGAACGAATAGACATAAATATCTTTTGCGTCCTTGTACATCGTTTCCTCGAATGGCAGTGACTCAAACGCGCGAAGGCAAGACGGCATTCTGTGCCTTGTGGCGTCGTCGACCTCTTTAGATGACAGATGTTTTCCCGTCCATCGATCGGGTGTTCGCTGTCTGCTGATCTTTCTAGTTGAAGCTGATGACGACTTATCAATGCCGATGGCGCCTCGTGAGGTGGTTAACGCGGCGCTTCCGGGATACCGGGACCTGCTTATCGATTGAACTTATTGTTGCAGTCAATGTGGTGAAAAATGACTTGAAACTGAAGGATCGTGCGTTAGTTTGGTATGTTGGAGAATATTATATTTACGGATATATATAGAGAACGCGGGGGAACCGGGAGGTGGGTCAGTAGAGGAAATTATTATGGAAAAGGGGTGGTTATGTTAATGAAGTAGCTATGACAAACGCATACAGTAGGCCATATGTCATAGGACATGAATCTATAGACCAGTCTTGCAATCAGTTGCTGTGTTTGTTTAAACTATACCGAACATTATGTATATAGATTATTCAAATATTTATTCAGCACAATGGATTATTGCTCTATAAACATGGACATATTGCTCTGCGTTCTGCAGAGTAAATTGGACCTAATCTGGGCTTATTTTCGCGCGATAATGCAAAGGTAACGAAATGCAAAAACATGTCGGCTCCCCTTGGTTCTAAACTGAACATAGACGCACCAGGTTTGGTACTGATGTTATAGTGACTATCGTACTGGGCTTAGATTTTAGAGACATTTAGTTTATGGATATCGGTGTCCAAGAGAGTACGCGCCATTTGTTTCTTGG